AGACATGTAGTCCCGCTGAAGAAAGCTGGCGGTGTGGTTCACAGGTGCCATATATATATATAATGTGACGCACTTAATTGCCACATCACCTGATCATGGCAGGCCTATAAGTAGAGGCATGATTTTACACAAGCTTCAGATTCCGGTCACGCGCGTAAGGCGCTCCCATACTGTTATGCTAAATACAACGTCGAAGTTCCCTTTGAAAGGGAACATGAGTCATCAGACCAGGCCACCATCTTCCATTGCTCTATGGTTCTGTTCATATGTTTATGTCCACATTGTAGGCACTTTCAGTGGTGTGCAGGGGATAGCATGGCCACTCTAACTAGTCTTCAGCATTGCAGCCTTATATGCAACAAGCTGTGATGCATGGTGTGTTCTGACACCTTTCTATCATAGCCAGCATTAACATTTTCAGCAATTTGTGCTACAGTAGCTTTTCTGTGGGATTGGAGCAGATTGTCCTTCTTTGGACAAGTTTTGGTAGATACTAACCACTGCATAAAAGGAACATCACACACCTGCTGTTTTGAAGATGCACTGACCAAGTTGTCTAGCCATCACAATTTTGCCCTTGGCCCTTGCAGCACATCAACTTCAAGAACTGGCTTTTCACTTGCTACCTAATATATCCCACCCCTTGACAGGTGCTATTGTAACAAGATAATCAATGTTATTCATGTTACCTGTCTAAGGATTTTAATGTTATGGCTGATCAGTGTAAGGCATTTGTTGAAAGAAAGAAAGAAAGAAAGAAAGAAAGAAAGAAAAAAAGAAAGAAACTAACACACAAAAAAACAAAGAGAGAAAGTAAAATGGGAGATGCACTCATAGGCACCTTTATCAACATACGCCATTTAATTACTGGAAAAACATTTCTTTGGCATCTCCTTGGTGTTTCCTAAGTGATCATAAAGCTGATAATTGAATATTTTCTAAAATTACCCAGTTGATTTTACAGACGCATTAAAGAATACAGTGTAAATGTATCTACTCATGCAATGCAATTCTGATAATGACTAAGCATGGATTAAGTCAAATCAAAATAAAGTCTAGCATTCAAATTTTATAAATAGATTACACAGTATTATAAAAAACACATGCAATAATGAATAATGAAATAAGTACATTTGTCACTGAGCGTTTTCCAAAATGTCAGCTCTATCTTTCCAAACATGTTAAATCTTGTTATCACCACATTAGTTGTTAACTTCTCTCCTCATTTTCTTTTCCTGTTTGTTGGTATTTCTTCGGCACCTCTCTATTTGTTTTCTTCATTTACTGGTTTTTCTTTGTCTTGCACTCTCCCAGTGGGAGGAAGAGACACCTTTGAAAACTCCTGAAACGGATCATTTTGAGAACTCTGGAAATAAATGTGTTGAGTTTTCAGGTTCTGGTATAATAAAAATAAAAATGTTGACTATAATCTGACCCACATGTAATTGTATCCATAAGTGAATTACAAATATATAAGCCAATTATGATGAATGCAGTTCATATTTGATCTGAGAAGCTTTAAGCTTAATTGATAGAAACATGGCACAAGGGTAGAAAGCAGAACCAAAAGCACCCTGAGTGAGGATCTTTGGCTACAATTTACCAACAAGCACCATGTATTTATCTAAATCAGATGTTCATTGTTTATTTCTCAATCAGAGGAAACACTGTAGAAAAAAATGTACAGTGCTCTCCACAAATATTGGCACCCTTGGTAAATATGAGCAAAGAAGGCTCTGAAAAATTTGTCTTTATTCTTTAACCTTTTGATCTTTTGTTCAAAAATTTCACAAAAACACTCTCATATATATCAAACAATTACAACCAGAAAAAAGAGATCTGAGAGATCTGAGACCATTCCTCCACACAGAATCTCTCCAGATCCTTCAAATGTCAAGTTCCATGCTGGTGAACTCTCCTCTTCAATTCACCCCACAGGTTTTCTATGGGTTTCAAGTCAGGGGACTGGGATGTCCATGGCAGGATCTTGATTTTGTGGTCAGTAAACCATTTTTGTGTTTTGTTTTTGATGTACGTTTTGGATCATTGTCCTGCGGGAAGATCCAAACACGGACCATTTTAAGCTTTCTGGCAGAGACAGTCAGGTTTTCATTTATTATCTGTCGATATTTGATAGAGTCCATGATGCCATGTATCCTAACAAAATGTCCAAGTCCTCTGGCAGAAAAACATTAAAGAGCCACCACCATATATAACCGTGGACATGAGGTACTTTTCCAGATGGCTACCTCCCTGTGTGCACAAAAACCACCTCTGGTGTTTATTGCAAAAAAAGCTCTATTTTGGTTTCATCTGACCATAGAACCATAGAACCTGATCCTATTTGAAGTTCCAGTAGTGCCTGGCAAACTGAAGATGCTTGAGTTTGTTTCTGAATGAAAGTAGAGGCTTTTTTCTTGAAACCCTTCCAAACCACTTGTGTTGAATTAGGTGACTTCGAATTGTAGTTTTGGAGACTTTCTGATGCATCTAACTTCTGTAATTCTCCAGCTGTGATCCTTGGAGATATTTGGTTACTTGAACCATCCTCTTCACAGTGTGTTGAGACAATATAGAGACAGGTCCAATTCCAGGTTGATTCATAAAATTTCCAGTGGATTGTAACTTCTTAATTATTGCCTTGATGGTAGAAATGGGCATTTTCAATGCTTGTGCTATTTTCTACTGCTTGTGTATATTTCACATATATGTACACACACGCAACATATATATATATATATATATATATATATATATATATATATATATATATATATATATATATATATATATATATATATATATATATAATTATTGATAAATCTGTGTCGGGTTTGCAATTGTTTGATATCCATGAAAATAGAGTACTCAGAAGCTTAAACAATAAAATTTTAAATTTTAATTTTAAAATTTTATACATTTTAAAGCCTTCTTTGCTCAAATTGACCAATTATGCCAATATTATTGGAGGGCACTGTAATTAAATGCTGTATTCATAGGCTATATAAGTCTGCACAAACAGGTACATAGGTGATTTTAAGCTGGCATAGAGACTTTTATATCCTTTGATGTTAGTTTGAATTTGATATGTCACCTGTGTCAAGTGACATAGATTATTTTTGACATAAGGATCTGGGCTGGCTCGCAATAAAATGTCAAAATGTCATGACAACTGAAGCTCAATGCACTTCTCGAAGGCAAAGTCATGTACTGGTAATGATGTGACCTCTGAACTTACCAAGTGAGGTTAATTAGAAAATTTAATAAAGGTTTAACTTCCAGAAGATTTACTGCTGTGCCTCCTGTACTTGCCACTTGGTGGTGATGATTTCAGTAAGTACAACTGTGAAAAGATTTGACAGTAATAATAGAATTATGACGTTACATTAAGTGATTAACTGTTCAGAGGCCTAGGTTCCTTGAACTACAGTCAACTATCATGATAACCTGACATAGGCCAAATGTTAAAACACAATAATATTTCAGGAAATGTCTGTGCCACCTGAACTGGGTGTTACATCAATGATATCAAAATAGGCTAAAGCAGTCTTTATGCAGCCCAGTCTCTCAGAAAAAAATAAACAAACGTTGGCATGCAACTTATTTGCAGCACCTTCTATCAGTTGAATATCAATATTCTGTGAAAAGCATGCACTGCATGTCAACCTATCAAACATTCAGTCAAATGCTCTGTATGTCACATTCTGCACCAGAATGTAATTTAACCATGCCTACCACTATGCTATTTGAATACTCAAGTTTTGAAAATATGCAACTATTTTTGAAATGCAAACACTGGGCTACAAGTGGTGGTGGTAGCTCAGTGATTAAGACATTGAACATTGGACTTCTGATTGGAAGATTCCGAGATCAAATACCAGCACCACCAAGCCGACACTTCTGGGCCCTTGAGCAAGGCCCTTAATCCTCAACTGCTCAGTTGTATAAATGAGATAACTGTAAGTCACTCTGGATAAGGGTGTCTGCCAAATGCCGTAAATGTAGTGTAAAATATTCATTACATATTGATATTATTCAAATTGCATAATGGTAGAGTAGGGCTTGGTTACATTACAGTGGTGAAAAAAGTGGAATACAGAGCATTCAAGTGAACGTTTGATATGTTTTTCTGACTGTGTATAATAGGTCTTTATATATATTTATGTAGGTTAAAATCATTTGTCATAAAATACTCAGAAGAACACTACCCTTAAGTAAAGTAAACATTTATGAGCATAGTGTTGAAACTAGAACAGTGAAATAGTCACAGCATTAGTTATAGTTGCTAGTTGTGGTGATTGTACCTTTATTCTCCAGTCATTATTACGATAATGATCCATTGCTTTGTTGCAGTCAGAAGAACTTCCCATTTAAAAAGAGTCACATTTATTATTACTCTCACCTGATAGTACCTGTTGTATTGGCAACCTAGCTGGAGCTACACAAATGCTTCTGAAGCCACTCACCACTTTTATTACTTGGATGGAAGCATGAAGGCTGAAGGCTGTCTGCTTTCTGTCAAAGATTTCTCCAATCCTAATGAGGCCCGATGGAAAGACATGAGCCTTCAAAACTAGCAGACCTCACAGATTTTTTTTCTCCAACTTTCTCTCTAATCACCCACACTCCCATCCTGAGATGGGAGAAAGGGAACAGAGTGAGCCCTGTGGCCAGCCAGAAACACTACAGAACAAAATCCCAAAGCGAGAATGAGTGTGCATAAGTGCCCTCTGAATAGTCTGACTAATATCACCTCAAGTATCATCTCCACAGTATGCTACTATCTAAATTTTTACAGTGATTTAACAGTCTTGCCAAGTATTGCACAAAATAAAAAATAATTGTAAACATATTAACATGAAAGCACTGTAATATCTTACATAGTATAAAATACAGTAACACGTAATTCAGTACCTTTGCTCATTTGGCTGACGCTTTTGAAAAAAGCAACTTACACTTTATGCAACTGTGCTGAAGGTTAAGAGTCTCCAGGATCTAACCATGCCAGCTAGGATTTGAACCCAGACCTTATAATCTGAAACTCAAAGCTATAACCACTGAGCCATCACAACTAAAACAAATAGCTTACATTTATTCAATCAATTCTACCATTAAATTAGCTTGCACTGAAAGATCGCATTGAATCTAAGTAAGTTAGTTGAGCTAGTTGCAGTGGTTAAGGCTTTGAATTACAAAGCAAAAGGTTGTGTGTTCAAATTCCAGCACTGCTAAACTGCAATGATTGGGTCCTTGAGCAAAACTTTTAACCTTCAGCTTAGTTGTATCCTGCCTCAAGTCACCTTATTTAAAATAATAATTTGATAAAATGATCAAATATACTGGATTATGTTATTGTATATTTTGTATGTTAGATATTATAGTACTTCACTGTAAATACTTTTTTTTTTTACTTTTTTTAAACTATTTTTCCATGATTTATTCATTTTAAGATCAATTCAATTAAAATGTGATTTCTGTAAGTGTCCTTGTTCACTCATGATGTACATGTGTCTGTTCCTTGGATAAGGATGATTTGTCCTTGCTCATGTTTTTCTTCTATTTTAGCCTTGGGCAGTATCTATATGCTCTAGACTCTAGACTAGAGCATGTCCTCTTGCACGTACACATTAGTATAAAAGCTGGCTGTGTCCAACTTTCGTTTAGACTATAGAATTCCTAGGCTGTCCTCATGCATTAAATAAACCATCTATTTTTATTTTAACCTGGCTCTTGGTCTCTTGATTCCTCAGTCAACTTTCTCCTGATGTATCTGCAGTATTTTTCTGGTTGTTCAGAAAGATGTACAGCACATAATTTATTATTATTATTATTAGTGTTGTTGTTGTTTTATAAGTAATCTGTAGTAACAACTGGGTGTGAGCCAGGAGTACACCATACTTGGGATGGCAGTGAATAGTATTTTGCTAAAGACAAAAAAAAACAACTGAAGACGTAGTCCTTAACCGTTTGAGAACAGAAATGTTCATTTGAAATCTCTATTGTTCTATTATGTCTATCATCTCAATTATTATTCTATTATTACTATTACTATTGCTATTATTGAAAAAAAATTGTTCTGTTTAGCCTTATAATTTGTGTTTATATCATTTTAGCCTACTAACTTATCATTGTGTCTTATCACATGGAGCATGGTGGTTAGTACGTTCGCCTAATGCCGCCAGGGTGTGATTCCCGTCGCTGCCCTTTGTTGTGTGGAGTTTGCATGCTGAGTTTGCATCTCCTGGTGCTGCAAGGGTTTTCTCCAGGTACTCTGGTTTCCTCCCTCAGTTCAAAGCTGATTAGCAAAGTTTCCGCAGTGTATGAATGGGTATGTAATTGTGCCCTGCAATGGATTGTCTCCCTGTCCAGGGTGTACCCGGATTGTGCCCGATGCTCCCTGGGACAGGCTTCAGGTTCTCCACAACCCTGTAGGATAAGTGGTATAGAAAATGGATGAATGGATGGACCTCAAATACATCAAAATAGATCAAAATCACATCTAGCATGATTTTATTCAGTTGATTATTTAATATGTACTGTGTAGCACAGGTGCAGCAAGGTACATAAACCTACTACAATTGTGTTCTCAATGTCAAACCTCATTATGTTAAAGTATGCATTGGACCGATAACCAGGCCTGTTTGTTGTTCTGTACTCACAAGAATCAGAGAAATACAGTTCAGCTAACCCAGATTAGAGCCAGGCATTTACCCAGATAACATGTCTATGCACTGTTAAACAGAAAATTTTTCGAACTCTGTTGACAATATGCAACATTGCATTTGGACTTCTTTTTTTTTTTTATAAGAACAATTTCTGGTATATGATTATGGGCTATTTCATAGCTATATGTTGGCACACAGTAAAATTCAATAATCTTGTTTGTGTGGACATATCCTTATCAATACAAATACAGCTGCCGGGTAGCTTTCCAAACCTATATTATATTAATCCTACACACAGCCTCTGCAAAGAGATTTAACCATTTTCTTGCGGTTGAAACACAAGAAATGAAATGTTAACATATTGGTTCTGCTCAGAGCAAACCGATTGATTTTCTCTTCTGTTTCTCAGTCCTGGTTTCAATGCCTATAATAATCATCCAGTTTGAAAGTTAAACCTTAGAAAAATTGTGTTAAGCAAAAAGATCTCACTACTTTCTTAGTTTGTTTCAGTCTTTTGTTGATCTTTTTCCAGCCTGGAAATTAGCACTGCTTTAGCTGAAGCAATGGCATGGCCAATTTCAAGAGATGGTAAGGTAAGGTGAAGGCATAGTGCAAGTGTTGTGTTTTAACTGCAATTGCAATTTGCCTCACAGGCAGCAGAGGGCTCTAGAAATTTCAAACTGCTCCTTTAATATGCACCTGCATTGAATTTCAGATTAAACACTTAAACTTTTCATTACAAAGCTGGAGGTCCACTTTGGAAATACCTAAAACAGCAAGTGGAATATCATTTTCAAAGAATTATGCTTCCTGTCAGCACTAAACTCTGTTACTCGTGCGTGTTTATTAATGTGGACAGCAGCAGAGATGATGAATGTAACATGGCTGCACTAAGACACATGACGTGTCTGCCCTCGCTGGGTCATTAAGAATGCCAGGCTGAGCTGTCTGTCAAAGAAACAGGGGGTCCAATAGTATGGAGTAGTTAGATTTGCTGAGATGATAATACACCGAGTTTTTTATTTAATTTTCTCTGGCCTCATGGAGAAAATTCCCCATGTGACTAATATGTATCATAACTGGAAGAGTTTAGTTTCTTGTACTAGAGATATAGTGTGTAAGATATGGTCCATGATTTTCTGTCTCTTTTGTAAATCTTATGTCCTCTTAATATTTTGATCAGTTATGAGTTACATAATAACTCTAATGGCTTTATGTAGAATCAGCATTATGGTTGTAGTTTAGTCACATGCTTTCCAGGAGATCTCAGGCCTCTGGGTTAGATTTGGTTGGCACTGGAATATCAAAGAAAAGCAATAGAATGTATTTCACAGTAGACCTTCTTGTTTTAATGATCGATATGATCACAACACTATCTACAGCTTGCTAAAAGCAAACCAAATGCCATGGCACACTCTAGCAAGATCATAGGGGGCAAAAATAAAAACTAAACCCTCTGCCTTTTCTCTTTAATCTTTTCCAAGTCTGTCTTATACTTTTCTAATTCTCTCCTTTAAAATGTTTTATGCTTTAGCAACCAGCACACTGCTTAAGAAGCACTGTGTTCATTAATTTTAAAGAGTAATGACTTGCATAATCATAATCCTGAGAGTCAGCCAGTTCGTTTTGTGATTAAATGATTATGTGTACATCAAAATATGGCAAATTCATGAAACATTCATAAAATATATTATTATTCTTCATAATAAATTTCATGACATTATATATTGTACTACATTTTGTATGTTATGGTTGAAAAGTAGAGAGTATAATTTTTTAAAGGTACCTCAGGTGTCAATCTATAGTTCTATGATAAGCTATTGTATTAAAATACTATTATATAATGTTCTTTGGTATAAGATCAGCAAGTTTAGTTTATATGAATTTTCGCTCTAGCTAGAATATACTCTTGACTATACAATTTGCTGCTTCATTAAGATTCCCACATTTTATAATTTTTTTTTTTCAAAATCTATAGACAAACATGCCATTGAGGCAAACATGCCATTGAGTTAAGAGATTTGAGACCATTTTTCAACACATATTTTACATTGTACATATTTTTCTCATGCATTACACATGGCATTATATAGCAATATTATAATGATTATTAATATATATATATAAGTAAGGGTTGCTTTGCATCTTGTGAATACAATTAGATCTTTTGTGCAGCCATTTTAAAAACAGCTTTGAATTCAAAATATGATTCACTTGCAATCTACCACCTCATTTCCTCTAGCCCTGTCTGGCCACTCCACTTCAATTCAATTCAGTTCAATTCAAATCAATTTAATTCAATAATATTATATTAGATTTTATTATATTATATTTGTATAATGCTTTTTACAATGGCCATTGTCATGAAGCAGCTTTACAGGGATATATCAATTCCAGATATAAATTTAACATTTATAAATGAAAACTGAAAAACGTCTGGAGGCTCCACTGCTCAGAGATCAAATTTGTTTTATAACTGCCTTGAGCCATCTTGAGGGGTGGCAAATTAAAGGGACATTAACGTAAACAAGCAGATTAAAATGCAAATTAATACGACTCACTGTTCATGATAAACAGAATGGGAGTGGGCTGAAGGCCAAGGAACAACAGGCCGCAACACCACCATCTTGTCTTACACATTTAAAAGGAGGTTATCATCACACCCTCTTTTTTTTATAGGCGCCTGATATGAGGAACTGACTGTGGGGGGTTGTACAAAAAAAAACATAAATAAATCATAAATGATAAGGAAGACATGTTGTTCTGTCAAAATTACCAAAATCCTGTGAGCAAATATCTGTTATGCTTATACAGTTTAAAGATAATTAAATCTTCAGTTGTATTTTCAAATGACAATACTTAGTGTTAGAAGTAGGCATAAGATTACTGATGTTATTCAGTGATGCCCAAAAGGGGTCATTTCTGTATTAGATTTAAACATTTTCATTGTTGCTGCAGTTATACTAATAAGCCTATGATTACCCAAATATTCAATATTGTGCAATATACAGTGAGGGGAAAAAAGTATGTGATCCCCTGCTAATTTTGTACGTTTGCCCACTAACAAAGAAATGGTCAGTCTATAATTTTAATGGTAGGTTTATTTGAACAGTGAGAGACAGAATAACAACAAAAAAATCCAGAAAAACGCATGTCAAAAATGTTGTGAATTGATTTGCATTTTAATGAGGGAAATAAGTATTTGACCCCTCTGCAAAACATGACTTAGTACTTGGTGGCAAAACCCTTGTTGGCAATCACAGAGGTCAGACGTTTCTTGTAGTTGGCCACCAGGTTTGCACACATGTCAGGAGGGATTTTGTCTTAGCAGATCTTCTCCAAGTCATTAAGGTTTAGAGGCTGACGTTTGGCAACTCCAACCTTCAGCTCCCTCCACAGATTCTCTA